TTAGGGTTAGGGTTAGGGTTATCCGGGGGTGCCGGCTGCCGGGCATATAGCCACAGCGAACAATAAAAGGCCACAAATCAAATGTATACTTTGTTTATTTTACATGTATACGTTGTAAAAAATGGTGGTGCGCCGCGACAAACACATATGTTGCAGCCCGCCACAACTTTTTCGCTGTGTTTGCGCACCGCGAAAAAACGGCGATGGACCATTATCACAAGTGATCCCTTTCTTGGATTTCCCCAACTTGGGACCTCTGCGGTGACTATGCGAAAAACGAGGGGGCGGGGTGTAACGTGCGTTATCGTCGTAGCCGGCAACGCTATCACTGGCATTGCACCTGTATGAGTGTATCCGATATTAGGCGAGGCAAACCACATACAAAAACAGATGTACACCTTACAATATTACACAATAAACGGTTGAAAGCATGAAATGAATTTCAAATCACAATAAATCATTTAGCATTCGCGAACGAAATTTGACGCTTCGCCAGTGATTCGATGAGTGAAGGCATATGCGGGAATACGCCACTAACCGCCGGCACATTGCGTTGATTATAACGCGTTCTGTTGAATTAGAGGTAACAACACATGCATACAAATTAATTTGTTAACTTACCAAACAGACGAATTTGCAGTCCTAGATATGCGCCTGATGGCAAGCGTTATATCCTCTTACTTTCTCAGTAATTTTATTAAAATCGCACACCCAAAATATACGCTGCTGCTGAAGATTTCGGAAACATGGACGCGCCCAGATCACCCATGCGTTTGGTGTCACTGCGCCAGGCACTATTTTCCCCATAATTTACCTTTTTGTATTATAATGGTTAACTTTGCTCCTTAGCAGATGAAAGTAATATATTTCGTGTTAATATTATTATTTCTAGACCAACATGAGTTTACTAGGCATTTATATGTTTTATATTGATAGCAGGTGCGCGCGCAATGATACATGCAATTAGAGCAATGATGTAATAGTATTATGGGATGTTGCAATGCTGGGAATCAACAGCATCCTTCATCTGTGAGCAAACTAATACATAGTCACAGTGAACAGCCACATCACTTTTACGTATGCGTGAATTTGAATGAAATACGCTTTCTTTAATTTCTCAATGGTAAATGATCGCACCGCCAGATGTATCACCTACATACCCACGTACACGCGTATGCACTATAATATAACCAGGAGTCTATCAATAGATCTATTGATAGACTATCTATTGATAGACTCTGATATAACGTATAAATATTTGCCACACAAAATACCACACGTTTATAGCATGGATCAAAATCTCATATTAGTATAATTACAACATAGTCCAGCTGAGTTTACTGCTGATTTCTATCCTGTGGAATGATGCAGTACATGATGATGTGCAAAGTTGGTACCGTACATAATTTTTTTGCCGGAATAAGGTAGTATAAAGAGCACAACATATTTGATACCACGCGCTCCTAATTTTATAACTAACTAGGTGACGTTTATCCTAGGACGACTATTATAGGTGACGTAACTAGGTGACGTATAAAAATGTAATTTTATTTATGTTACTCCCGATGTAGATCGGGAGTAACATAAATAAAATTACATTTTTCTGTTATTGTTAATTATATTGTTAATTGTTTTATTAGTTGTTTAATTATATTGTTAATTATATTGTTAATTGTTTTATTAGTTGTTTAATTATATTGTTAATTATATAATTATATAGTTATATTATACTTTTATTGTTGTGTTATACGTTACTCTTGATAACGTGTGTTCTATGAAATAGAACCATTAAATAGCAAGACAATTTCAGCAAACAAGTCTGCTACATGGCTTCAGGAGAGATATGTTTAGTCAATTATATATTATCGATGTTTCAGATACATATGCGCATTTCTTATTATGTTTACACCATTATAGACTGACTCAGCGAGTAACTGTGAATCAGCGACTGTCAGCCTAACAACAACAGCCTGACGACAGCCAGAGACTTCTCTACTCAATCTACATCCGTCCTGTAGAAATAATTTCATACATTAATTTTCCCACTCTAACTGAGGCCGACCAGACTAGCTGTAGATGGACCATCTACGAAGATTGATTTAAATGAGAAATTAATTACGACTAAACTTTATAATTCCGCGTAAAATGCGCATCGTATATGATGGGATTTCTACACCTATATATACATTAAATAATATTTATTAGGCCATGCCATTTTATTGCGCAATTGTAAAAAAATATAGAAAACTTGTCTGTCTTTTGGCCAGCCAGAAGTAAGTTAATCTCGAATATGTATAATTATTTAAGTTTATAGGATAAGAATTCTTCGCATATATATGACCTGTTCTAGCAGATTCTCTACCAAATCATTCATTTTCGTGGGCCATTGGAATGGGTAATTTTTACTACAAACTACGAGTGGGTATGTGTTTTTTAATTAAATGTATATTGCACTGATATACTGTCATTTGACATACGTATAATGCGCATGCATGTGCGAATAGATTTAACCACGTGCTACAATGTTTAGGAAATCGGAAAGAGGCGACGTCTTATAATTAGTAAGAGATTGGGATAGATTTTTAATTCCAAACTAATGCTAAGTACGTGCTCTCTGTTTAAACAGTATAATTTCCACAAAATCATATTTGTTTTGACAGAGTCTGGGCATGCGTGCAGAAGGACTTTATATATCATTATGCTCCTCACCAAATCATATGGAACCGCGAAAAGGTTAGACGCTAGACTAGATATTAGAAGAGACTGAGATAGGAATGCATTTACACATTTTTCATAGCCCACTACTAGTGCGTGAGTATGCGCTCTCTGCTTGCAATGTATAATTTCAATAAAATGGCATTTCGTTTGACAACCATCTACCAATACATATCTTCTTATGCTACCGTATAAGGAAATTCATGAATGCAATTGGTGTCATTATACCATCCATGTATGTTCCCATAGAGGAATGCGAATTATGCCATTACTGAATATTGTGGCGAACGCGTACGGATAACGCGCACAGACAGCGGAACGCGCACAGACAACAAAAGAACTGCCAAAAATAATTAATATCGTGCAAAGACGATAATGGTTCGAGTCTTGGGCCTCGACAATAGCAATATAATATATAATATTATATGGACACTACATGTATAGTCTAACTATTGTATTGTTTCTATGCGTGCGTCAAACTACTGGTGCCACCTGGCGATGCTAGTTGAAGCGACGGTGACGGCCTGTCGACGGGATTTATTCTACTCACGGCGGTGGGCGAATTGGCATTCTATCGTCTCGTTATATTTCCCTTTTCCCTATTTGTATCATCAGGAAACAAATACGAAACGCCATCAATCTCCGACCGTAGGTAATAGGGCCTATATTTAGTAATACCCTATGTTACGGACAACCTGGTTGCGAAAAAATCGCTCATATGGCATTTGTAAATTATAACAACTTGAATCGGGATTAGGCCCCACGGTAAGTTGCCCTTGCCGAAATTCTAAACTGTTAGCACAGAAATGTCGACGCAGACGTATAATATCAAGAGCATAATATTAATCGAAATAATTTTTCTTGGCGTGGGTATCATATAGCATTTGCTATGAGGCAAGCGCGGCGTGCCTCATGTTCAACTGAAGATTTGTGCTCATACCGTTTCTGACAATTAATTACAATGTTATTATTAATAATTATTAAACGATAATCAAAATTTAAAATAAATTTTATTATCATGTTATAGCAATAATATTATATATCATATATCCATGAAGTATTCGTATATCAAAAAGGAAACTTTATCGTACAAAATTTACCATGATATTATCAGGAGTAAGATAATATAGATCTATATTATCTTACTCCTGATATTATGTAGTATAGACAAGTAATTTGTACTGTGATTGCATATTTTGTAGGGCACCTGTCAGCATAACATTTACGTTTCTTCTCCATTAGCTATTGGGCGGGGCGGCCGGTGTGCCATGGTAGACAGCCTCCTCATGAAAAAAGGTCCCCCTATACAATACGTATGAACACTAAAGGTGAAATACCCATGCGCATGAGCCATCCGCCCTGCTAGGCATGCCCATGCTTATACGCAATGGGGGGGGGGGGTTGCCATAGGGGAACGTCTAACATGCTACCCCGCAGAACCGCCCAATAAACTAAAGAACAGATCGAGAGGAAGATCTCTTCTTCGGTGTATGCTGCGGATCGACTACGCGCGGAGGAAATTTCTGCAGGGAGGCAACTCCAATTATGTATTGCAAGTCAACGGGAGAATAGGGTTCATGTTACAAAATTTTGCACTACGATAAGCATCCCAAGAAACCATACCTTGCATACAGCGAGGGATTACTATCTGCACTTTTAGTACGTTTGTGCGTTTATGTAATTATGTGTTTATAATGCTCCTCGAAGTTCACAAAAGCCTCTATAGACATGTCTCAGTGTTCATCTTAGTTTTATTTGTATTTGCATCTAATTCAATCAGTCATGTTCGAACGTAAAAGGTCTAATAACGAGTAACATAACGAAAATAATTCCGCTATAATCGACTAGTATAGAAGAAAACGTCATAAAATCACGCCGTAGTAGCAATATTTGTAGAACTTCAATAGAATGGAAAAGCAAATATTATTACCTAACCTAAACGACGTATTTCTGGCACACAGGGGAATTTTCGCTAACCCGGCCGGTTAGTATAACCAGGAATGGGCTAACGGAACCGGAAATGGGATAACGGAGGGGTGGGAACGAAGGAACATGGAAACAGCATGTTTTAGTGCTTCAGATGGAACCTTTCGATCCCTAATGAGTATACTAAATTTGGTAAGCAATGGAGTAAGTTATGTGTAAAATGGAACTTTGAAATGTTCTTAGATGATTGCACGAGGCTGATTCTGGGATAGCGGCTACTGGGGCATGTGTCTCATGTACGCTATGTATGTAGCTAATGAAAAACATCGATAAAATACCAATACACGTAGACATTATAATTAATTTTTAAGTGTACTTTTTATTTATCCATGTGATACATATTTGTATCTTAGCAATCAAAATTGATAGTTGATTTCTTTATAATAATTATTTCAATCGCTGCTGTTTTCTAACCATTTGTGGAGAATCTAAATGGACATCGACACACACGCACACGCACACGCGTGCGCGCACACACACTCACACACACACACACACACACTCATACACAATCTCTGGCAGCGATCGCTGAAGTAACGCCTGACGACATCACACACTTAGTTCTATTTCATTCCACTGACAAATGTTCAGAACGCAGCAGCGAATAGAATTAATTTTATTTAACACCGTAACACTGGGTTTCAAACAAGACTGAACAACAAACCGAAAACTGAACTTTACTGTAGCCCCTATACAATATGGCTTGTTAGCATTCTGCCAGGTGACACACTAGGTGGTGTTTTGTGCCCGTACTCATTAAATCCAGCAATCTTATAAGGTGTTGTCGTAGGTGCCGTGAAATAGAATTACTATAATCTTTTGCAATTAATTTTGTTCACAGTGCATCTCAATGATACTCATCAATGCTGACAGCAGCCAGGCAGCTTGCAATAAAGCTGGCTAACCAGGACCCGTTCAACTATCGCCAAAATATCAACAAACCAATCAAAAAATTCCGCTGGCTCGCAGCAATCACAACATCGCTGATCTGAGAACATGAAGCCACTCATAAATACCGAAACTGCAATTTCGATAACAGATCAAAACTGCAGTCGCACGTTACTGTCATCATCTGACGATAACTGCCTGCCTACCAGCTAGTTTGTCAGCATTGGTGAATAAGCCGTTAGCTCCACTCGGACCATCAACGTATCCGTGTGGTACACCTCTTCAGATTGGTTTTATCGACATGTCACCCAAAACAGCTCAAGCCAAAACTATCAACACTCCACAGAGCACGAACATGAATTCCTGAGTTGTCCTAGCAAGTTTGGGCCGTCTGCACACACACAGCAAGAGAGAAAGAGCGTATGAACCGCAGAGATGGTGAGAAGTGTGCGGGAGAGAGAAGGTAGATAGGAAGTTACCTGGAGTGAACGCAGGTACAGAGCAGAGGGAAGCAAACAGTGATGAACTGCTTATCTACTTGACACTTACAAGCAATACAGAACTGTTAGTGGCTATGCACTTGACTGTATTTACAACAAATGTGTCAAGATTATTAATTCTAGTGGTTATCATGTTCACCTCAACGTAATGACAGCATGCTATCTGTGCAAGGCCCAAACTGCCTATCAAATTTGGAACAGTTCCACGTGACACACATGCTACAAGGCACTGGATCGGACCTAAAACAGTTGCGAATCAATACAGAAATATCACTTTTTACCTGTGGTACGGTGAATCGTGTCTCTTCAGAGTAAAACGCCCCAGTTCCATACCTCAATACTGTACAGCTGTAAGTGCGTACACTACATGGAATTCTCTAACAGTTACTAAAATCTACAGCATATATTTAAAGGTGGAAATATTATTTACTAACAGCGCCGTGATACTACAACTAAGTTCGGCTAGCCATTACTTATTCACTGTGAAGAGACACAAAACACCCAATCACTTAAACGGCAAATTACAGGAATTTTTTTGACTGATGATATGTTGAAGTACAGATCATTTGACAAACAACAAAAAAATCCATGCCTTGTAGAAACAAACTAAACGACCAACCCTGTTCAAAACTTCGCTGGACTATAGACGACTACCGACCAGTATTTTGCCACCAATCGTTCAGCAAAGACTGCCCTAGACACGACTTAGTCGGCTGCCGTCTACACTGACACAACATTCCAAAAATAATCTGGCTACAAATTTGAACATGGAAAGATCACAATGTCTGAAATTTTTGGCTCTGGTGGCTACTGTTGTAGCTAAATGTTCAAGAACGCGAACCGTAACAACACCTAGATTTTCAACAACACCGTAACTTTAACTGACAGAAAACACTCTACTTTAAACATATCTGAATATACGGAAATTGTAGCCCCAGCAGCCAAACCATCATCGGAGGTAACAATATCTCTAAATATACAGCAGTTCATTATAGCACATCATTACAAACAACACAGGCCCTTGACAAGAAGGCCATCAAAACACACACACACACACACACACACACACACACATATCCTTCCACTTCAAGGTCAACACACACCGTTACCTGCTACACTGCTGGTGATGTAGATATTGTTTCAATTATGTAAAATCGCAAATACAATAATGCCTCTTATAGATAATAATTGTCAAAGTGAAGACTATCTGCAACTATTTATCTATAGCCAGTCGTGTACGTCAAACACTTGAAGTTGTCAGTGTTGGAACTTCTACATAAGGTAGCATTTGAGGCATTGCGCCCATGGACAGGGTAAACCAACGGCCTATGTCGATGTAACACAGCATAGCTGTGGTTTACAAATATCGGAAAACACGTTACAGTGTTTGGCACATTCGCTTCACCCCGTGATACATAAAGAGGAAACACGGCTACTCACAGAACTGCCACAAGTACACTGCACCAACATAGAGGACACCAGTTATCGACTAACTATGTCTGGAGCTGCTCTTTCGATTAACCCCGCATTGAGTGCCATGCAACACCATACATTACAATCCACCACAAACAGTAAGCAACGAAGACTACACCAAATATCAGTCTACTACTTCTCGCCAACCCACTGACCATATTATTGTCTGAACATTTCCAGTGTAAACAGTAGATAGCTCTTACCTCATATTGTCTCAATTTATAGTAGCATGCAAAGATACACAACTTACGAAAGGTCACACAACTTAAATGATACAATGGATATAGAACACGTTGAATAGTGCAATATCCTCAGGTAAATATATCCATATATCACGTGCATGCGATAAACTGGCTGTGGAAGAACACAGTAATGAGCGGCTCCTACAAAATTCTTATTTCTTTTACAAATGGAAATTCTAAGACATCATGACAAGTAGTATTGGTTGGTTGTTCGGGCTATGCAAAACTCAAACTGGCAGCTATTGTGATTAGACAATTTTCTTAACACACACTGCTCGGCAGTTCAAGTCAGGACGCACACACCATGGCATGCTTCTCACGCCTTTATCAAGTTATGTGGCACGTGAAAAAATCTATCGTAATCAATAAGTTAATTACAAACACTTGGTGCACTAGTACACAACTCCACGAAACAATTTGGCCAGGCATGCAACTTAAACCGTGGTAAACGTCCACGTAAAACATACTAATTCCTGGTCTACACAGAGAAACATACTCACACACACGCACTGCCAGTTTGAGTTATACATTATACATATTCACGCACGAACACGCACGTTTTCGCCTAGACGCGTGTAAAAGCCCTTAGTACATATACATATACGAACGCAGAACCAAACATTCAACACTCCCGAGTTATACATTGGGGTTAGCTAGCTAAAGCAAAAACTAATAGATTTTTCCCAAATTTGTCCATCCTGGGTGGAACCATCGATTTTTTTTTTTACAAATCTATGCTAAGCAACATACAACTGAACCCTCCATTTACGCAAAGTTTTACTAAGACTTGGACTTAATAAACTTACAAGCAAGTTAATTAAAAATATTGTGTAAAACAGACATACAAGACAAAATAAAAATCCACTGTAGAACACCTTGAGGTATGAAATGCCATTAAATTGCCACTAAGGAACACAATAAAATTACAACTTCAAACTTGAAATCGATAAACTTGCACTTCAAGACAGGTTGGGTCCAGCAGTATCAGCAGACAAAAAACTTGGTTCTCACCCAGGACAAAACAAACTCGTTCCATTGACTCAATTCCACTGACGTCTGCCACAGGCCTGACTAAAATCTCCAGAAATTCATTAGAACATGCTCTGCCACAGGCTTTCATAAAAAGCTACCAAACATCAAACAAGTCTTAATACGCCTTTTCCTGTACACAAGGTACTCTACTTGCAAACACTGGACTAATTCAACATCATCTATAAAACAAATGGCGGAATCGTACCATTTGAAGAAATAGGACACAGAAGTTGGAAAGGTGAGGTAACAACCCTCGAAATAAAGAAAATCATCAAACACTTATGATAACCTTGCACACAGACTTAATATTGTAATGGCCGATCCACACATCCACTTCCACCACTCGTTCGAGTGGACGGAGCAGTGGAGCCAAGACGAAAATGACACGCCACTTACATACGTACAGACGACGGCAGGTAGAAGACACGACGGACAGACGCCAACGAACCAATCAGAACTGACGCTACGGGGTTTCAACAACTCACAGTGACCTAGAGAGAACAGCAAAACAGACAAGTATTAGACGCAAGTACTATACTAACGGCAGAGCAGCCTACAGGGAAGCAAGCAGATGAGAAGGTAGGAACGTTATCAATAAGAATGCAAGCAACTGAGCCCGAGGAGACTAGTGCAAGAAAGAAGTAAATAACATAGAAAACGTGAGTTGATAGATACACGAGAAAGAAAATGAAGCATAAGAACTGAAAATAAAAAGATAGATTCGTGGGACACGAGGGTAAGAGGCAAGTAAAAGAGAACAAGACAGTAGTTAGGTGTAGAAGACTAGAGATGGGAGTAAGTAATACAAAATAGTGAGTAACTAAATATAAGTACAGAAAATCTAGATAAGAAATGAGTCAAAGAGAACAGGTGAATCGCTAAGTCCATAATATCAAGGTAAGAAAGGAGTAAGGGTGGACAAGTGAGTAGCTAAGTAGAGGAGACATAAGGTAAGGTAAGGTAAGGTAAGGTAAGGACAAGTGAGCAGCTATGTATAGAAGAGTAAGGAGAAGTAGAGAACGAGCAAACAGCATAAATAGCTGAGTATAGAAGACCCATGGCAGGAAGAATGCAATACGAGTGAGCAGCTAGGTACAGGAAACCACGGTAGAAATTAAGTAAGAGAGAAGAGCAGGTGAGAAGCTAGGTACAGGAAAACAAGGTAGAAATTAAGTAAGAGAGAAGAGCAGGCGAGAAGCAAGGTACAGGAAAACACGGTAGAAATTAAGTAAGAGAGAAGAGCAGGCGAGAAGCAAGGTACAGGAAAACATGGTAGAAATTAAGTGCATGCAAAGATAGGCATGTAGAACCAAGGTAGGAAGTAAGAGAGAACAGATGAGTAGCTAGCTATGACACGAGTAGGAAGTAAGACCCCAGCGACAATAGCAGAGTGTAATGCAGTAGAGATTAGACGAGTATACGATACCAGGTTAGGAAGAGAGTAAAACGAACAATTGCATAGACAGGTACATGACGAGGCTGTAGTAGGAAGCGTATAAACACAGAACAAGTAACTATCTAGGTGCGTGAGCATATAAAGGATAAAGCAGGCAGGGAGAAAGAGGTCACAAGACTTAACAAGGGTTAATGTCACGGGTCATAGTTGACATGACACAGTGCAAATGAACGGAGCTAACAGTGGTGAAACAGGCAAGAAATTGAATTATAATAGCTTGCATAGCATTCTAGGAAGTCTAAAGTCTAACAAAAAAAAGACTGTATAAAAAATACTTTTTGCTGAATAATTTGCATAATCAGAGGAACATTTTTCTTTACTTTTCAAAATGTGGGGTTGCAACATTGATATGGACAGTACTACTACAGGAAGAGGAGTGAGGACTTTCCCCAGCTATTGAATGTTCTAAAACAAAACATACAATGATATGCAAATAAGGTGACAATAAGCAGTCCCTGGTCAGGTCAAAACACATTACACGAAATAACACAACATCCTATATCACATACACGCGTCCACACACACACACACACGCACATTCACACACATATACACGCTCTCCTATACAGCTAAAGGATGAAACAATTATATAGTGTCCAGCCAATTACACACTGTGGTCCTTGCTTTCTTTCAGTACAACTTGACGATGCTTCACGGTCTGACTTTGACATCCTGCTCATCCATGTAGACGTGTCTGCAAATGCTAAACTTTGGCCTGAAACCTCAAGTGAGGAAAAGAGGCCGAAAAGGTACCATTTCCGAGAGGAGGCAATGCAACCGATCAGATCGTATGCAGTGATATTGCACGGTGATTGCAGAACATGGCATCATATGGAAATGGTACCTTCATTTGGAAAAACAAAAGCTAGACTCACCTTTTGTACTTTGTGGCTCCTTCGCAAGGATATTCCAAAACACAGACACGAAGACAATATCCTTCCTTTGCATTTATAATTGCCAAGAGTTCAATATTCCAAAGTGCCTTTGCTCAGCACAAAAGACGTGGAATGGCTGCCAGATTCTAAACTCCTCATCTCATTCGCCAAACAGTTCACCGACAGCAAGAAAAGGGGTGCATCAATACTAACCATTAGTATGGTTTGCCAGTCTCCTTTGACCGTTTCAACTGGACTTTTAGTCGCTTCATTCCTATCTGGAATCCGTTCATCGCCTGAATGGCGGCTGTAGCCGATATTGCGTTGTCATAACTCACGAACCCTGTAAAGGTAGAAAATGCAACGATTATTTATGAGCCAGCATGTATTTTGCAGTTAGACTCCTTACAATAGCTCGTCTTTCTTGAAACATATACTGTCAAACCTATGCAGGGGCGTAGATAGCGGGGGGGATGGGGGGATGCATCCCCCCCACTTATTGACGCGGTGGGGGGAATGGCGTGTACAATCATCCCCCCCTACTTTCAGGAGGAAAATAGGGAATTCAAATTTTCTGGGGAGGACCCCACTACCCACCCCGCATGTGTTCTTACCGACACGCGGCCCTCACTCGCAAATTGAGCGCTCTGCAATTGGCCAGCTGTCAGGACGTAACAAATTAGCACCCGCCCCCAAAAAAATTCGTTCTGGGCGTGCTGTAGAGTACTGCTAACAAAGATAGATTAATGAATTTGTATGCATATCAAAAATCAAATTAAGTTCATCTGACAAGGCATAGATACGCAGGGGAGATGGGCGTATATCCCCGTTCACACCTTATTGAGGTGGGGTGACTTTCATCACTCCGCCTATTTCGAGGAAAGAAATATGGGAAACATTTAAGTATTTGACCAGACATAAATACTGATATTTGATTCTACAGAATCCGTCATCGCTATTCACTAACTCTCCTAATGTTATGTTAACAGAAATGGAACGTGACCATACATCCTACTGGTAGAAAATGGCTAATTGTCGTTCCAAGAATGACATTAAGTTTACTGAAACTGCAGACCGGTTAGAGGGTGGTGGATGCATTCCCCATCATACGATTTTTGTTCAAAATCCCCGAAATCACCATCTTAATCACTGCCTATCCAAAAGTCTTAAATCCTTGCTTGCATTCAAAATTAGGAATAGACGTCATATGAGAGTGGGATAGTTGAATTTTCAGGGGGGAGTGAATGGGAAAATCCAATTCATCTCACTTTTTGGGAGCGGGGACTGGGGGTGCTGAGCGGACCCGAGCCAGGAAAATATATTCCCGGATCTTGTATAACTTAGGGGTGAAAAGTAACTGCACTATTTGGTTCAAATCTGGTGTGTTTTCCAATATTCTTTAGCAGTTTAAAGGTTCTCAGTAAAAATACTACGCCTTTATCAAAATTCAGGGGGAAGATCGATTCCAGTTGCTGTAGTCTCAACTGCGGGGATCGGTAGCACAAGGGGGCGGTCGCCCCCCCGCCTAGAACTCTTTCAGGTTAAAGGTATTTTAGCCTAGTAAGTCTGGCACTGGCAACCCCAGTGAAGAACAAGTACATGTACCAGCACTAGATTTGTAGTAAGGCATGTTAGTCTTTGATGTCCCCAAAAGGCGTAAAAGATTACTGCAACTCAACAGTGAACTGTTATTGTGAGGAAGATTGTTTTAATAGTGCTGCCTCATAGTGCAGGATAATTGCATCGAAGAGGTGTTACTTTTCAACAAAATTTCCGGGGAGGTCCCCTGGACCCCCCCTAACACAGCGCAGGGGGAGCACTCCCCTGAAGAGGAAAAACCCTGATATTTATGATAAAAGATTCCAAAATTGATTGCTGTTAGATTGCCAGAATTTTAACATTCCACACAGTGCGGCCGCTTCGCGCCCTTGAGCTCGCGATGATTTTGCCCTCTGCCCCCCCGCCCTAAGAATTCACTTCTGGAATCCCGCCACTTGGTTGTGTGTGTGGGGGGTGCGTGTTATTAAACCGTAATCCAAATTTAGATTCCAAGAAAAAAGATGTACCTCTGAATTCACGAAAAATTGCACTTACAATATCAATTTTTCAATTACCGTCAAAAAACGACCACTTGAAGCTTCTAAAATTGTCCTAAAGGATCTACAGTGGTCCTGGACCCCACCCATTTAAGGCTTTGCGCGCAAGTGCTTCGCGTGTGCGCTACTCGAGCACACTCTTCAATATAACTTATATATCAGGAGTAGATAAGTGAGAGGAGGAGAGGAGTGTGAGCGAGCGCAAAATAAACAAGGGAAATAGTCATTTACTAATGCAAGAGAGAGAGCGTACGATGTACTATACACAAACGTAACTCATTCCAAAACAAAAGGCTCAAATGAGAACAGTCATACAACAAAAATATTCATCGTGACCGAAATCGTTCCTCGCGAGTAGATCAGGCCGAGCAATCCATAGATACAGCTAAACGTACGACACGATCTCCATTCTATGGCGCATCAATCCAACGCCATTGGCGCGCTCTAATAATTCAAACAAAAGGCAGCCTACTAACGCGGCTAAATTGCTAACCAGCGAGGCATGTGGGCCTCGCGGGAGATTAGGACATCACGAGCGCGGTCGAGTATATACTATGACTGTACAAACAGCATGATCACGGCCACGTACCTTTGTACATAGCTGGCATGCCTTCACGCACGCACGCCAACCGCATGATTAGCTCGTCGAGTGTTGCGTCGATCTCCAATCTCCCCGCGAGCCACAACGCCACATTCAGCTATCCGAGAGAGCAAACACAGCGACTGCGCGCCAGTGTTGCTGCCTTTTGTCTGAATTATAGGCGCGCAATGGAGGCGTTGGATTAATGTCCAAAGAATGGAGAATCGTGTCGTACGTTTTAGGCTGTATCACCGGATTGCGGGTGTCTACGAGGAAACGATTTCGTACGATGATGGGCGAATGTACTGTGTCCGATTTGAGCTCAAGTTGGATGAGTTACGCGTAGTAAATCGTAGGTATTATAAGGCTAGTAAATGACGAATTTCCCTTGTTTATTGATGTCACACTCCTCCCTATTATCTACTCCTGATTATGATGGAAGTAACAGTGAAATCATCCCCCCCCCACCAACTGAGAACCTGTCTACGCCACTGAACCTATGTAGCAGACACACATGTCTCTGATGAAAATTGTATGTACAGTTAAACAACCTGTACATAACAGAAAACTGAACGTAAAGACACATTTGTGGTTTCTCTCAAGCATTCCTTATATCCAGGTTTTAGTGTACATGAAAGGTTTGCAAAGCAGGCAACAATGCAAGCATGTATACTGAACAAAACCTCACTTAGAAATTTATGCAGTAGTGGTCTGTTTTGAGCAACATACAAATAAAGCATGAATATCTAAACCCAAAAATTACAATTAAACAGCAGCTGGATAACAGATGATTGCATTTCTATGAGTAGTACTATATATATTGAATATAACAGATGCTAATATATCATCAAAACAAGAAAACAATTGATAGTGTTGCAAACGTTTGCAAGGATATGATATTTAGAGCTTTTACCAAAAACAACTTAAATATAGTATCAACACACTTCATTATATAATTTCAGTTTTTTCTTCGTTAATGGTTACGATGCTATGACAGGGTAGGATATGCGAGCAAATTTGAAAATTTTATATCTGCAGGGTGCGAAATTAACGGGAGTCCGGAGTCAAATACTCCCTGATTTACTGTCGGACTCCCTTATTTGACAAATACAGGAGTCCATGTGACTCCCTGAAAACTCTGCCATACTAATTAGTTCGTTCCAGAGCACAGCCTCACAGAATTACCGTATTTTTTCAGCAAATATCCAAAGAAAATTTGGCACACATGCATTGCATGAATCTTCAACATAAGCATGTGTTATTGTTGTTATGCTTTAGTTTTGCATTTCAGACTGCGGACCCCCACATTTTGCTGCGAACTCCCTCTTTTAGAGGGCAGGGAGTCCAACGGACTCCCTTGTTCAAAAGTTAATTTCTACACCTATATCTGTTATACAATTACGATTTTTCCTAACAACGGTCTCGAACAATAAGTCGAGACTAAGACGACTATTAAGACTATTCATTGTACTGATGACAATGCAGTGCTCTCTCAATCTTACCAAAACACTTGCTTAGGTTGGTCTGCTTGTCAATGAACACCTTAGCGGACACAACGTTGCCAAATGGAAGGAAGGTCTGACAGAGATCTTGATCACTGAATTCCTGTGGAAGATGATAGATGAAGAGGTTCGCCCCCTCGGGACCTGCAATGGCAGAACAGACCTCTAGTCAGGAGTATCATGACAATGTGCTTGCTTCATCATCCATACAGGTAGTCAACCCATTCTTGTCTAGATGTAATGACACAGGACACGAGTAACCATTATTACAGTTGACAAATGTGACAACATTCGTATAATAAATACTGCATGAAAATGATGATGTATAGATGTATAATGAAATATATACATATGCACACGCACGCACACACTGCACGCAAGCACGCACACGTATATATGTATAAATATATATATATATATATTGATGGTGGGAGGGGTGGGCCTTTATGGTATATGCACATACACTCTGCAGATGCTAATCTGCCAAGACAGTGACAACCTGCATTGCTAAATATGCTGTGCTCATTATCTGAGATACGTTGCTTTGAAGCTGGATGCTACATGCACACTGCACACTGCACACTAAAAACTCATCCCAATGCAGGAGGAGACATAGAAACAGCACCTCACGCAGCGGGAGGGGACGACGGGGCGCGCGGGGGCACGGGGGAAGTAAAAACGCGGCGGTGAATGGTCCCCCTTACTTACGTAGGCGAGAGGCAACAGCGCCGGGGGCAGGTGTGGCGGAGTACACGGAGGACAAGTATGACTTTGTCTCACCTTCCGTCTGCTTTCCCGCCGCTGTTATGATCTGCTGCTGCACCCCCGGCTGTGTGAAGTTCGGGAACCCTGCTGTAAGAACAGAGGCGACGCGTCAGCAGTGACTCATAAACGCCACGTGCACGCCACCGCCACATCATGGCCCCCGCACACTGTGCGCATTTGGCGCATGCAAGCAAAATATCTATCGTGTACGATTTTTCCGGCTCAGCGCCGTTGGCGCGCGCCGAATGCGCACAGAGTGCGGGGGCCTTCAGCGACTCCACTAACAGTGAAACAGGTTGAAAGGAACACGCCGATGTTACGCGCTATATGCAACGATATGTCCGAAATATCAGAATTCGAAATTTTTACGTGTTTGTAATTTTGATGACCGTTGCTCAGTATCTCTTTAGGACACTGTTATCGATTATCTGTAACGCACGAATATAAAATGATTTAGCGAAAAGACGTGAAGACCTGCATTGAACCACGTGATTAACACTATGAATGGTATGTTTACCCATGAGTTTCTAATATACCTATGAATTTCCAGTGTAAGATTAATAGATTTAAAATGTTAATTTATCACTTTTCTTCATTTATACCACTATAAAAATGATAGCTTCAGAAATATGAATAAGTACGTTTCCTGGTGTTGAAATCCCCCAAGCAACTGCTGGGGGATTACCTGATGATGTTGCTTATCATAATATAGTCTGTATAGTTATGCAGCATGCACACATTAACTTGAGTGGGGACACATCAACATGTGTATTTATACATACGTGTGTATTTATAATGGGAAATAACTGTATCCGAAAGGAGGGCAAGACAGATGACCTTTCATATACTAGTATATGACATACTACTCAATTATAATATACGGCCTGTTAATCACAAAGCGATTAGCCATTATTTTACTTGATGCTATTAAGCAGCAATCACAAGGAAAAGCCAGCACTAGCCTTCAAGCAGTACTGTGCAAAGCATATTAGCTTAGTGAGTAGCATTCAGCCAGAGCAATACCTGCAGGTGTCATCTACAATATCGACTTAAATCATGTCTCAATTGTTCACTATAAAGGTATTTGCACGTGCATATATGTGTGACATACATACCTACCCAAAAAAAAACTTCTAGGAATAAAAAACCATTAAATTTCTATCACTGCACCACCATCTAAATATAAGCCTTGGGTGTTACAACAATTGTATCCAAATAATAGAAGTCAGCATGCCATCTACCAGAAGAATAACTATAAATTTTCAGCATTGTAAGTTCTTGTGATTGCATGAATTTATATGGTGTGTAACAGTGAAACATTTGTCTGAATGTAAATTTGCACAACAATCATGTACAAAAACAAACTGCATACATTATGTTGGGGGTCCTGCCAGTACAGCAGACCAACTAAACCTTTAGCAATCTGTGTGTTTAAAGTATACTAGACAAACCTGTATACTGCTGCATCCCAGAGTAAGCCTGTGTTAGTGTGTCTGACCCAGACCCATTCGAAGTCCCTACAAAGCATAACAGCAACGAAAGACGTCACAGAGGCATTCTAGTGCTTGCTATAAGCGAATGTGAGATCAGTTTCATAAAGGTATGATAATCACACAGAGCAAACTGGCTGCAATATGATTAGAGATAACAGCACTGAAATACACAATATCACAAAGCATCACATAATTGTACTAGCAGATATCTTTGATATAATGTTTGGTGATGTAACTCAATTGTTAATCATGTCCGCATTGTCATATATATCGATAGATGACAACACAAACCAGATAAATGAGAAAATAAAGTTCGAAGCTTTCACAAGAGTATTACCATTGAGTATGAGCACCAGATGTCACTACCAGGCATATGTGAATAAACTTCACTTACGTACTTTGTTAATGGAGATAAACATAATTGTATTTTACTTTAACTATAGGGCCACTATTCTAAATCAGAATATATCAAGAATCAGAAAGAATATCTACTATACTTGCATCAAACACTCATTCTAGCCTGATGCAGAGAGCAATTAAAATGAGAATTCTACTGAGACAGCCATGCTTTTGTGAATACGATGTTAAAAACCGTGGCCATTTTACGTATAGCTGGAAGGATATCAGGACAAATAAACAAATAAAACACCACTTGGACAACTACCCCGGACGTTTAATGTGATGTCCGGAGATAATTGCCTGAGAGGTATTTGTTTAGAAGGAATTGTTCGGTGGCATATGTCAGGGTAATTGCCTGCGTGGTAACTGATGATTGATCAGAGGGTAATTGTTTTTTTTGTTTTTTTTTGGGGGGGGGTGAATTGTCTAGCAGGGTTGTCCATGGGGATGGTTGAATAGCATGGTGGTAATTAAATTGTCAAGGGAATTTGTCCTAGAACCAGTGGAAGTAGTGTGGTAGAGATAACTAATTAAGAAATGATATTATAAACCTAAAACAAATGGAAATAACATCAATTGTACCAGGCAAAGCATAAGGGATGGAATGGAATGCAACAGATAAACCAGATTTAAAAAATATGCCTGCTGAATATTAACTAATATTTGCATGATAATTAATATGACAACACCACTTACTACTTTTGTCTCACAATATGTGCAATTCTATTAAACATGCAACATTTTAGAAGAACATGCATAATAACAAGAAACTTTACATCCCCTGGTTATCAGTTCCATACCGAACTAGAAAGGGCAGTTGTCGCCAACTACATGTATCCCCCGTGTTCTCCCCAAGATGTGTAAGTATACGAAGTTTGGTTGCGCTAGATCAATTAGGGGCCGAGTTATAGAGTGGAAGGGAAATATGGTCAAGGTCAAGGTCAAGGTCAAATAAAAGCCGCAGTGACCTGGGATTGGTACGCGACACAGATTCTCCCCAAGATCTGTAAGTATACCAAGATTGGTTGCGCTAGATCAATTAGGGGCCGAGTTATAGAGCGGAAGGGAAATATGGTCAAGGTCAAGGTAAAGGTCAAATAAAGGTTATAGTGACCTGGTTTTGGTAGCGCTAGGTCAATTAGGGGCCGAGTTATAGAGCGGAAGGGAAATATGATCAAGGTCAAGGTAAAGGTCAAATAAAGGTCGCAGTGACCTGGTTTTGGTACGCTGCGCACCTTCTCCCCAAGATGTGTAAGTAGACCAAGTTTGGTAGCGCTAGGTCAATTAGGGGCCGAGTGACAGAGCGGAAGGGAAATATGATCAAGGTCAAGGTAAAGGTCAAATAAAGGTCGCAGTGACCTGATTTTGGTACGCTGCCCACCTTCTCGCCAAGATGTGTAAGTAGACCAAGTTTGGTCACGCTAGGTCAATTAGGGGCCGAGTTACAAAGCGGAAGGGAAATATGATCAAGGTCAAGGTAAAGGTCAAATAAAAGTCGCAGTGACCTGGTTTTGGTGCGCTGCCCACCTTCTCCCCAAGATGTGTAAGTAGACCAAGTTTGGTCACGCTATATCAATTAGGGGTCGAGTTATAGAGCGGAAGGGAAAATCTCTGTGGCAGACCGAGCGGCGGCGGCTGTACAGACATGAAACCATACTATCCCCGCCGACTTCGTCGCGGGGAATACAATAATGAGTACTGTGCTCTCTTCTTATTAGGTAATAGATAACATGCTATTCCCATTGTGATTTAGCAAATTGTGAGCATGTTTCATGCAATACCAGGGTCCGACACACAACTGCAACATATTAGTTCTTGATCAATACTTTGCAGGGTTCTCCGCAGGCCTTTAACATGTCGGGTCCGACATGCCTTCAAAGCAGAACCTAATTTGCGACATTCCATAAGTCGTCCCGACATGCCTCAATTGCTTAATCGACATGCATAAATTTCCAGCAGTTATTGAATTTTGACAATCCCAACATAGACATGGTGTTTTTACAGCTTAACGTATACATGTCCGAACTGACCAAGTTAACCTATGTATTGGGCCTGCATACGACATGCATAATTGACACCATTAAGAGGGGATAAATTGTTTGATTGCCTTCTGAAATTACTAAGGAGAACCCTGCTTCTTATTAATAGTTATGTAAAATTACACCAACTTTCCATAACAGAATAAATGGTTAGAAGAGATGATAACTGCTAAAGGATTTTTTTCCTAGTTATACAGTACAAAATAACATAACTGCCCAAGCTTAGTCTAAGCCCTAAAGCAAGGAGGTAATATTGGTATATAAATGTCTTTCTATTTGTTTACTCATTTGACACGTCAATGCGTCATTTTACTGTTAGGGTTGAGAGGTGATTTTCGGTCGAAACTTCAATACCCACTTTATTTGATAGATCGCACCCATGGGCAGCTATGTATACGTAGAAATTATGTATACAGCCACCCAAACAGTTCCAAATCCCCGCATTAGTCAATTCTTAACACAGGCGTTCAATCATAGGAAATTTAGAAAAGTGCTAATATCTCCATTGCTTGAAATGCTAAAGTTGCTGATTTTTCAAATGCTATTTCTCGAAACTCAGAACTCCGATTCCAATTTTTTGTGTTACTTTTCAATGCTAACATATCAAAGGAAAAAAGGGTCCATGGAATTTAAAAAAAAAATTATATTTTATAAGTTATGGCTCTTTGTTTACGAAATTGTTGCGTTTTGAAAATCACTACAAATTTTCGTACATCTTCTCAAATTATTTCCTAAATTAAAGCATTTAAAAAAATTCCAGGGACCCTTTTTTAGTTCATATTATGAACAACTTATGGTTAAAAGTTTAGGAACGACTTAAAAAATAATAATTTCATCGAGAGCGTAGAGAGACATCTCTCTTATGTAATGGATATGAGTTTGATTGAATTTGATGATCAGTTATGTTGCAATGCCCTTTAGTGTTACCTGTCCGTAACCCTAACAGTATCCACATGAGATCAAATCATATTCTATAAATCACGATCAGGATATGTCCATCGATGTTTTCTTGGGCTATAGCTAGGACAAAGATGATAGCATGGGCACTTTGACAGCAGAGGAATTTACAAGCAGTGCATTCACCACATCACCGCCACCAATACCGAGATGTGCTGCTACAGATGGCCTAGAAAGACGACTTGCTAATCAGCACTAACTACCTCACTAATTAACACTACTAAGCTACACTACAGCTATAAAACACAGCATAGCAACATGCTCCTTATTGCCCAGCTACTCTAGGCTTCAACGATGGTTGCAGTCACTAAGAAGCATCTGTACACATACACCTGGCAAACTTACCCAAGTGACTCTGGTTGCTAGAGGTCTGTCCTAGATTTGCGAGGCTTGCCAGGTTGGCAAGCTGGCTGCCTGTGTAGCCCATGCCTCCACCACCAGCTCCAGATTGTGCTGTTGAGCTTGACATGCTGCCTGCAAGAGTCACAGATCATGGTTTCAACTTCCCTGAACAAGGATAAGGGTGTTGAATAGAGTGGAGATAGAAGTGCGAGATCTATGAGGATTTTCTTCCGCGAGCGCATGCACATTTCGGACCCCAGCATTGTTTGTTAATTTCCCCAAGGAACTGGTTAAAGATAATAACATAAAGTTACAACAAGTCCACCGATTATACCAAGGAAATCAGTCATCCTAAGTCACCTATTCAAGCTTAGCACAGTCCTTTCAATTAGTCATGCAGGATAGTCACCCCATATAGTGCACGACACAATGGGGTGTGAAATGTGTTTTTGTTGTAATCCACTTGTAAGTTTTATTCTGGTAAAACTAACCTTTTATTCTGTATTCTTCTAATTTATCGGCCTTCGGAGTCAGCAAGTATAAGCTCTGTTACTTTGAAACACACATTGCACCCCTTGCTTGGCTGTGCTATCAACTCAACAGCACTTATTTTGTCTCAACAATAAATCCATTCTTGGTGTCATTGTGGGAGAATGGTCAGCAGTTGTTGACGTAATGAACCGTGCTGCCTCTGTCCAGCGGCATGCAGTTGGTACTGTTAAGGTTGTGGTGTGAGGGCTTGCAGCGATAATCAGCATTAAAGTGATTACGTCACGAATTTCTAGCACCATCAATAAGTATATTTGTGTGTTATTTGTACAAAATAAAATGTATGTAAATACAATTAGTGTTTCTGTTTACTTTTCATGCTTATATACCTTCTTTATATGCCCTAATTTGCCGGTGAAAAACAGAGAGACGCCAGTATCTGAACAGTACTGGGGGAATAGTGTTAGACAACAGAAATTAACAAATCGTCTAGATTTTTGCAAATTTAACCAACGTAAAAACATTTTTATCAGATGAGAGTTTGAGGATATATTTAGTAACGTTAGTTCTTACTTTTAATGTAAAAAAATGGCAATTTTTTTTTATACAAATTTTACCATGGAAAATTCGTGACGTAGTCAATTTAAATGCATGACCCCACCAAATTTTCAACACCCTTACACTTAGTAATCATCCACATCCATTAAGATAACCATCTACAATTTTGTGGCACTCCTGGGGCAACTACCACACAGAGATGGATGTTAGTTGTTCATTAATATTTTACACGTTTCAATTAAAACAATTAAAAGCCAATTACTGGCTGCTAACTTCTAGAAAAAGAGATTAGATGTAATTATCAATTTAACTGTACATATGGATGTGCGTGCATGTGTGTAAGCGTGTGTGCGTGCGGTCCGTGCTCATCAGTAGTTTTACAAATGTAAAATATGTCTTTTGCTTGCTGACACATAAACCAGAATACCAATTAGCAATTGAAGTTGGAATTTCAATAATGAGACTATTAAATATATAGAAATATAGCAATTCCTAATATCACGCCAGCTAGAAAGGCCGACTGAATCATCCGAACGACCTCTTGGACACTACACAGATTACACTGTTGAAATTTAAATAAATACTACTGAGCATTTGCGAACATACCAGTTTTAAGAGGTGTTTAGGAGATATGCATTACTAAGTTATACTCTACTACCATGACAATTAAGGCAGCACAAGGCAAAATACACATGCCTATCCCAGGGTTCAACTATCACCATACAGACACACCCTGCCTTATACGCCATTGTCGGACTAAAAAGCCAAACGCCACATCGAAATGACTCTTTTGGTCTGAATTTTGCTGCGATGTTCTGCACCATATGTGCCTCAATGCGAGTGAAGACAAGCTTTTTAGATGTATACCTTGCATGCCATCCCGCCACTGATCTTGCTGCGAGCTAGATCCACTTGTCGCAACACCTGCAATCAGGAAGAGCATCGAAATGAATTTTTTGGAGATACAGCCTGGTCATATGTGGCTTCTGGTTCATAGGAGTCATTCTCTCAATCACAATCAATTTTGAACTGCACCACTCAGGCAGCATTTGCTCATCTCTACATAGCCCAGTTCAAACGTTGCCTCACATAATTCACCACGATTTTCCTATCACTCTGAGAAGGCATGAGAGAAGACATTTTAGCTGCATGTCACCAAGGTAAATGTGGCAAGGAGGCGAGGAATTGATATACGGGAGACAAATACAGGAGCACGGGGTGTAGGTGTATGTGGTAAGGGAGGAGGTTTGTGAACAGCTTTACTTATATAGCTCACACAACTGTTATGTTGACATGTTGAAGCCATTACTAATCACACTGATAGAGAGCAGGGGTAGAAATTAACTTTTGAACACGGGAGTCCAACGGACTACCTACCCTCAAAAAGAAGGAGTACGCAGCAAAATGAGGGAGTCCGCAGTCTGAGGTTCAAAATTAAAGATATTAACAGTAACGTATGTGCTTATTTTTAAGATTCATGCGGTTGCACGTCTGCCAAATTTTCTTTGAACATTAGCTGAAAAAATACAGTAATTCCGCAAGGCCGTGCTCCAGAACGAACTAGTTAGTATGGCAGAATTTTCAGGGAATCACATGGACTCCTGCATATGTCAAATCAGGGAGTATTTGACTCCGGACTCCCGTTAATTTCGCACCCTGAGAGAGTATTTAGTAGTAGAGATTGAACATGACTTTACCTGCTTCCTGGCCTCCCTGCCACATGCTCTGCTGATTCATGCCACTCGACAGACCAAGGTTAGTGTTACTACCGCCACCCGTGGCGCCACCGCTTGACTGGCCCTGCGTCATGGCGGCAAGGGCTGCCAGCTGTTGCACATTCAGTGAACTAACACCTGAAATAAAACGCTAGTGCTGAATCGATGCCCGTCCACTACTCCCACGATGACAGCTTCCCGAAGATGCAGCAAGGCATCAGGGGCAAGTCAGGATGCAGTTATTTCTGTCAAATGGGCTTAGAATGCTTGTGACATGATTGTAAGCCGATGGTACGCTGCATCATCGGTGCACTGCTCACGGCGCAGCATAAAGAGTGGATTAGCAGCAGCCTCTCTAGCAATGCCTCGCTTTTTATCCAGCAGGTACCACCGGCTTCGGTTCACCGCTTCTCCCCTTGATATTGACAGGTTGTGAATGCATACCTTGATTGCTAGCAGCCATCAGTGCTGCAAGGCTCTGTAGGCTAGAGAGATTGCCTAGGTCCTGCTGGTTTCCTGATGAAGACTGCTGCTGTTGAGACAAACCAGCTAGACCCTGGAATCCTGCCAACAAATCTCTCATGATCACTTTCAAACGCTGGATCACACATCATATTTGTGATATTGTTTCACATATCATAAAATCCAGATTCTTGAATTTGCTTGGAAAATCAAATCAAAATCGATCGAATGCGTTTACAGTACACAATCTCTTATCCGAAATTCTGAAAACCGAAAGTTTTTTTCGTGGAGATCGTCTGCACACCAAAGCTCACGTTTGGTGCCAAAACTCGACCAGACGAATATTAATGTGTTTGTTATTACTCATACAATATTGTACTGTACCGGTACAGCACTTGGCCTCTTGAAAACTTGGGTTTTAGTACTGGCTAGTCGCGGGATATACGGTATGTATATCTGTACTGTACTACCATTTCGAAATTCGAAAAATTCTGAATTCCGGAACGTGTCTGGTCCCAAGGGTTTCAGATAATAGACTGTGTACTGTATTAAAATTTTCGAAATATGACGGCTAATTAAACCTTTTCAAAAGAAGATAAAGCGATACCTCGTGTGCTGCCCTCCTAGTGGCAGGAACAAACTGTGCTTCCCTCCCTTTTGCCCCATCAGTGAACGTACCTGCCGTGTTGCTTCCCCCAGTGAGCGCTGCCAGCTGGACTGCCAGCTGCTGCATACCCAGGTTGCCAACGTTGAGCCCACCGCTGGCGCCACCGCCTGATAGACCCTGCGAACTCATCGTGTTACCAAGATTGCTGACTGCAGAGGCTTGCTGCAACAACTTAACAGTTAAAAGGACAAGATGAATTATTGTTCATTGCTGAACAGAGTAACATTAAAGAGTAACTAGCATTAGTGGACGTGATGTAACGTGCAGTTTGTAAAGTTGGATGGGGTGGAGGGTCCGACGCATGAAGGGGGGGGGCGTGTGCTGAAGGGGGGGCCGCGTTGCTGAAGGGAGACACGCAGAGCTGTCGTTGGCAATTATAAAATTGGTGACTTTAGATTTAGCTGCCATCAGCTTCCATAGTAGTCATTACTGGGAAACAATAGGAAAATGAGCATGTTACGTGCGCAACCTATAATTTGCATGTGTAATAGCGGCCAAAAATACATGCCATGGGGCATGTCTGCAGATAAAAACGACAACATTTTATAATAGGCTTAAACTCGATATTTCATTTGATTTATAATTGGTGCATGCCATCCGTTTCCGAACTGCCAGCAGCATAAAGGATTAAGGATACTCTCAAGGTTTTAGGAAAAAATTTTACCGATTTTTCAGTTTTCAACTTTATTCGATGGCTAACACTATGTGCCACCTGCTCATTTCTCCACAAAACGGTACATGTGAACTGTCAGAGCGTTTTGCTTGCCCGCGTACATGTGTAGTGAGCCGCGGCTGACGTAAAAAAACGCTGATTTCTCCGTTCCAATTTCTGACTTAGTAGTCGATGTATAAATGGATATTTCTCCGTGATTACAACTCAGAATAATTTAATTTTTAAGGGTAACATATTGCTGTAAAAATGTGAATCAGGGATTGTTATTAAGTGCCGTATTTTATGAGTTATGTATCTTTATTCGCAAATTTTTTTAATTCAAACGTGCGACTTGAATTTTAGGCAGTTTTTTTTCATTTTTCTCGGTAAATATGAAACTTAAAGAAAAATCCTGATGCACTATTTTGCTTAACATGTGGCGAAAATTTTGTATCCTCACTCTTTCTGGTAATTGAGAAATATCCAAAATACCATTTTTACATAAAAATTCAAAATTTTTGTGGTAACATAATTAGGTGCTGGAAATTTCATGAATTTTTTTGCCTTGAGCATAGAGATATATCTCCTCTATAAATAAAACAAGTGATTGATTCGATTCATTCGTCAATAAACGTTTAATCTTCATTAGAGCAATACCCGTGCAAAAGGTTGAGAGTATCCTTAAAGCATTTCAATTAGGCTACATTTATAGAAACGCTGTTTGACATTTACATGGTTGAAATATCCTGCTACTTTTGCACGTGGCCATGCAAATATCGTGGTATTCATCTATAATTTAACAATCAACATGTGAATTGCCTAACCCAGGTTCACATCACAGGTTTCCAGTCCTTCGTGAATCACATGTTACTTTTACTATTCAAAACAACTTAGTTTAGCTCTCTTGACAGTTATTGGGTTTCCAAACGAGGTAAGCGTAGGAAACAAGGAAAGACGAATCAACAGTATATGTGGAGTTTTCCTATTCTTATTTTCTTGTTGATTTCTTTTTGTCTACTGATTTAGTTCCACAAATTGAGATTTGCCTTACATTTTTAGCTTAAGACTTATTCAATACTATATAAAGAAGCTGAAACCACTCTTCCTAGCCACCTAGCCTATCTTGTTACTCGAGAGGGCTTTTTAAAGGGTTTTGCAGCAGCTGTGTTAACCTTTATAGTGTCCTTGCTCGAAAACCACTTCAAATGGTTACTTGAATGAGTTTTACACTGGAGACTGCTAATCCAGCAAAATCTCTTATATATTCTGGTAATGCACTCTACAAAGATAGTTCAATGCAAAGCCAAGAAAAACAGTGTCTTTTGGACTCACAGACAAAAAACCATTCAACGTATACGGACGCGTGACTACTTGAGCTCACGTAAACTTTCAATCATATGCACAAGTACAGGTGAGCATGATACATACACAAATACAGACATGCACGCACGCACGCACGCACGCACGCACGCACGCACGCACGCACGCACACACACACTCACACACAAAGACTTGTCGATTTGTTGCAGGTATTGCTGTATTGATTAATTATTGAACCACCCGTGTAAACCTGTAACTAGGCCGATTCGCGAGCATGTTTTGCTCAATGTCGAACTTTCTGAAGTAGTAACGCTACACCCGGAAAGATTACAGAATATCTCGGACATCACAAATCAGCAGAGACGTCAACAAGCTCAGTACGTTGGCATGGCAACTAGGCAGGCGAAATTTATGTGAACCTACAGGTGATCTTCATCAAGCCAGCAGATTTTTTGTCATCATAACGGGTTGGAAATCCTCTTCATTGCTAAATTGTTTGCACATAGGCTATTCTGATTTGTCTCAAGTTACGATATGCCTCAACAGCAACAAAACAAATGTCACCGGAAAACCGTTACATTGTTGGAGGAGAAGGTGAAAGGATGCAATGACACACGGTGGAAGAGCGAGGCAAAGTTACGTGATATAATGATCTCCACATGCGTAGATATTGCACGCACACTTATCGAACGTAGCGTGAATTAACACTTACAGCGATGTACTGTTGGGGAGTCATCGCTCCAACCCCAGCCAGGTTTTGAATGCCCCACATCCCGGAACTCTGCATCTGCTGCTGCAGCTTCTTCTGCTCCTTCTCTTTCAAAGTGTCCGCAAATTTGACGACAATCGGCGACGAGCAGCCCTAGGGAAGACAAGCAGACCGCAGCGGCCATTCATCAGCAGCGTCCGCAATTTCTTCGATTCTGACAGCTCGTAATCTCCCTCTCCACCTCCCCCTCTCTCCCGCGCTGAGCACACCACCGTGGCGACCCACCACGAATGTCGAATGCATCGTGCGTTTCCGCAAACGATCGCACACGCGCATTATCGCGCTCGGCAGACATCGGACGGCGAAATTTAAATTGCCTCCGATTCGCTCTAAATGTTGTTACGCGAGCGAAGCACTTTTCTGCGCCACGTCCCATCACCGCCCCATCTCGCACCACCATCACCGAGGCGTGCCACTGCCCAATAAGACGTTTGATTGGGAAACAACTGGGTAGCACGCGCAGAACCGATATCGATTATGGAAGGAGGGGCAGAGATAGATCAGTCAGAACCACGCTTCCCACGATAACATATACAGCAGCAGCAGCAACGCCAGCCTAGCACGCTGGAGCTGCAGAATGCTGGGCGCACCACAGCGTGCTGTTGTCCACGTGCTCGCCTGTTACGTAACAGCATCAGTGTTCTATTACAACTCATTTAACCCGCAAATTGTTGGGAGGGTTTAGCACCTTTCTCCCTCGAACACCCTACAGCATACAGCCATGCCACAAACACAGCATTTTCCCTTTGGTTGGACCTATTTTGGTATACTAGCGAGCTGAAACCAAAAATTATAATTTTAGATGTGGCAAAGCTACCACAGTATTACTAAGAAAGTAAAAAATGCTCAATTGTTCTTTCAAAAATGTTTTATCACACGAGGAAGCAAAATTGCTCCTTATACTTATGCAAACTATCAAATCACACTTTCTTAACAGACAAAAGAGCAACAGTGGACCATAACCTTACGCATGCAAGTTTAATTTGAAGGAAATAGTCCGATAAAGGCAGTTTAGCAGATGAAAATGGCCTGTTTTTGTAGAAATGTCAAGAGCCAAGAAAACGATTTGTAAAAACAGCTTCCATGTCTTTATACGTCAATGCGGTGAATACCCAAGCACTTCTTTAGTCAACGTAATGACTGCCATCGAAATACGAAACTAAATGTCTTGACGTTTAGAGAAGATCTGCAGCCAATTCCAAGTGAACACTTGGGCAGAAAGATAAAACAGCATTTGAATTACACAGCAGCATGAATGTGAAAATCTTTTTCGCGAAAATTAACACAATCACATTTTGCAGGAATTCGCGTTCGCAGTTTTCTCGCAGTTTGTGTAAAATGTCTCATTGTTACCACTCACCTCCATTGTTTGGGAATGATGCATTGATTTGATACAGTTCAGAGCCATCTGCCTGGTGGCATACGTTACAAAAGCGCAACCTGCAAATACAAAGTGAGTGGAGATTAGATATAAAGAATAAAGGGTACTGTGAACTGATATCACATATATATACATGTGCACAGGGTGTAGGATTACCACCCACACTGAAATGCAATACCACTCTTAGTTTGCATGTGAACATAGGAAATCAGCTAATGCAGTGTCATGTTATAGTACCATGCCATTCCCGAACACATACCGTATTTACTCGTGTATAAGTCGCATTAAGTAGCACTCCATATTTTGCCTTGGAGAGTTGGTACAAAACTTTTATAATCGAAATTTACATGAAAGATGAGACTACAAGGGCCAGGGAGCTTTACAAATTATGTTACATGTCTACTATTATTAGTGGACATATTTAGAGAGAGAGAGAGTAAGTATTTTCAGAGTCAATATTATTAATAAGTGCCGCAGAGCGACAGCGCTCAACTGACGTGTACTAGCTGTAGCCGGGTATTCTTCTGATAAACCCACTGGCAACCGAATCAAGTGCGCCCTCCCGCCACCGCGTTGATAAGCTTTGCTATACAGGTAGTACAGTAATAAAGATATAGCTGTGTAACTTTAAGGATACTCTCAAGGTTTTAGGCAAAATTTTACCGATTTTTCATTTTCAACTTTATTCGATGGCTAACACTATGTGCCACCTCTGTATATGCTCATTTCTCCATATAATGGTACAAGTGAACTTTTAGAGCGTTTTGATTGCCCGCGTACACGTGTAGCACTTGAGCAGCAGCTGACGTCATCAGTGACGTCAGAGACATGATACAACCAGAATTTTCATGATATTCACTATGCCAGTATCATTCAGCATCAACCCTCCTACAACTGTCATCTGCCAGTGATAGTTGAAATTGCCGCGCAACCGAAAATAGCCCCGTTTCCCTTGTTACACACCTTGCATTTCGGCGCGTGTTTGTTGACACATAGCTTAGTAACGGCATGCAGTATACACATCGTACGCGCGTTTTGCATGAAAGTGCGGTGGTAACCTCGTAATTTCTCACAATTTCTCAAAGTGCATGGAACATATTACCAATTTAGTGGTGTCAGTTAGTTTAGTCATGGATATGTCACAGTAAGTACGAACAGTAACAGTAGATGTTTCACATACGTTCACCCATTTTGCACACAGGCGGTCGATCATTGTGAAAAATAGAAAAACGCTGATTTCTCCGTTTCGATTTCTGACATAGTAGCTGATGTATAAATGGATATTTCTCTGTGATTACATCTCTGATTAATTTAATTTTACACTCGTTTTAATGGTAACATATTGCTGTAAAAAAGCGCGTCAGGGATTGTTATTAAGTGCCGTATTTTATTACTTATGCCTCTTTATTTGCTAAAATTTTCAATTCTAACACACAACTTGATTTTTAAGCAGTTTTTTCCATTTTTCTCGGTAAATATCAAACTTAAAGAAAAAGCCTGATGAGCTATTTTGGTCCATATTGTGCTTAACATGTGGCGAAAATTTTGTATCCTCCTCTTTCTGGTAGTTGAGAAATATCCAAAATACCATTTTTACATAAAAATTCAAAATTTGTGTGGTAACATAATTATGTGCTGGAAATTTCATGAAATTTTTTGGCTTGAGCATAGAGATATATCTCCTCTATAAATAAAACAAGTGATTGATTAGATTCATTTGCCAATAAACGTTTAATCTTCATTAGAGCAATACCCGTGTAAAAGGTTGAGAGTATCCTGAGGTGCAAAAGCAGTTCAGTCCTTTGTTAACAGTCAACAAATCCATGTTTAACCCTCCTCTTGAGGGTCAAAAGGTTATCAGACACTTACTCGTCGCAGGTCAGCGGAAAGTAGATTTCACGGTCCTTTCAATAAAGTGATAAAAATGGTAGGTCAGTGCTGAAACAAAAAAGTTTTGCACTCTGCCCGTTAGACCATGTCCTCAGAAAATGTCTGATATCTGAGCTTTCCCCCACTGCCCTTTGACCTCTGACCTCCAATTTCGCGCTGGTGATGGGTTTCCTCCCCATCACATTATACATCGAATATTAAGAGCGTAGGTCGAGCCGTTGAGATTTGTGCCGCAATTCCGTATTTCCTTCTATACCTTAAGTTAAGGGGGAAATATTTCCCCTCCATTGACACATCTTGACCTTTGACCCTTGACCCCCAAATTCGACATCACGAGTCCTTTTCGCGATCCCTCCTGACGTCCCGAATATAAAGATCATACGTAGCGCGGTTAAGATTTGTGCCGTAACTGTTGACGCACGGACTGACGGACGGCCAGCCGGACGGACGGACATTCATGCAATTCTACAAGTTGCATCTGACTTCGTCAGCTGAGCTAATAATTATGAAACCAATAGGCAAGCTCAAAAGACCAGACCTAGAATAACTTTTCCGGGCTTAGTTTTCATACATTGAAAAGTACAGCAATTTATTCAAGACGGCTGCGCCCATATACAATATGCGCTCGTAAGGTTTGGCATTTATAATAGCGACTGGTTGCGATAACGATGACAATTCTTACACGAGATTTCCTACCCTCGTGTATTTAAGTTGCACCACTTGATTTTTAGCTCATCTGACATAGTCAGATGCAGCTTGTAGAATCACATGATCGTCCGTGCGTCCATGCGTCCGTCCGTGCGTCCGTCCGTCAACAGTTGGGCACAAATCTTAACCGCTCGACGTACGGTCACGATATTCGGGACGTGGGGGGGTAATCCGAAAACGAGTTGGGATGTCGAAGCTGGGGGTCAAAGGTCAAAGGTCAAGAGGTGTAAAAGAAGGGGGAACATTCACTCCTTAACTTAGGCCAAACAAAAAAATACCTTTGGTTCGGGTCACATGGATTGTGAAAATTAGGGTCGGTAGGTAGGCATAACAT